AGGAAATTACTTTGATTAAGGTATTCATTCATCTTCCCTTCGAAACAAATCAATTTTGGAGACAAAAAACGGTAGGAATTAAGTTTAACACCTAATAAATATTAATAAAGATAAAAATAATGTTTCGTTATATTTACCGAACAGTTGAAAATATTTCACTTTATATTTGGAGTTAGGTTTTTCCAGGACGCTCTTTTTATTTGCAGCGCAGTAGTGGCGAACATCGCTGGCGAAGCTTCGCCCATGCAAAGAATTGGCGATGCAAAGATTTATCTGTGGCGCTTCTGGTGGCGGTGGATAGAAGCATTGCTAGTCAGACTGTAACGTCCGCCGAAATTTGCACGCAGGCGAACGTCACTCTTAACGGCGCCAGACGCGTTGCCGTGGCAACGCGAACTGTCGCGACAGCCGCGAAATCCTCGCGAACCGTGATCACGCGGTTAGCGCGTGATCAGACAGCTGTTACTAAACCGTACTGCGCTTGCGCGACCTAACATAATTAATCGCGTGAAAATCTATTTAAATTAATAGCGAGATAAATTAACACCCCATAATATTGAATAATACACCATAGGGAACTAAGAGGCCCTCTACTATTCTCGATCTATCGCAGTATTCTAAAGTAATCGATAAACTTATTTCATTTAAATTCTGTAATTGCAACTGCAAACTTGACTGCGCCGATTCAGAAAGCGGCTAATACTGCGCTTATGATCGAGAATACGTAGCTGAATCGCATCCGCAAGTGCACCAAAAGCTTCTAACAAAACCTGCGAGATCCGTTAGAAGCTTCGCGATACAAATAACGCACAAACGCTCTATACTCAAACTCTATGTATAAAAAAAGAGAAAACATCATTCGGCGGAATATAACGCGAATAAACGCGCACAGCGACTGCACAGTATGCAGCACAGGGGCGGAGCGACTAAGAGGGCCCTGTCAACATTTAGATTCGGCAATTTCGCCCTTTAAAACAGTAAAATCTAATAAAATCTTATTAGATCGAAAGTTCTAGAACAATTCAAACGATTCCGAAACTGTTGACAGGTCAACCCCCTTTCGCGCTCAGCACCACCACTTCTAACAATATAAAAGAGCACACCAAAGACGGAAAATCGCTTAGTTTCGACTTAGTTTCGGCTTAGTTTTCGGCTTAGTA